TAAACCCTATAAGCCATAAGCCCTAAACCCTATAAACCCTATAAGCCCTAAGCCCTAAACCCTAAACCAATTAAGGCCCCGACGAATGAATGTCCTTCCGGAAGAGGCCTCGGCTTCCAGCTTGAAGGCCATGCTTTGCGTGCATCCGATCACCCCGAAACCCCTAAAAGCAGTTAGCCCTAGAACCCCAAGGGCTTAGGGTTTAGGGGTTTAGGGGTTTAAGGTTTAGGGAGCCCCTATAAACCCCAGAAGCCTGCTTCCTCGCATCATCGATGGTCGTCATATCGCAGCATAAGCTGACAGCCCTCCAACCCTTCTTGGGGCAGCGCCATCTTGCCGACGTGCCTCTTCATGAACGCCACAAGCTGTGCCTCAGCTTCTGTTCTTCCGCAAAGGAACTTACGGCTGGGAGGGCGTGGCTTTTTGGGATTTAAAGGGGGGGGGGGGTTGTAGGGTCTGAGAGTTTGAAGTCTTAAGGTTCAGGCGGTTCGTTTGTACCTATAGTCTCCATTGTAGTTCCTTTTTGGGGATACCTTATAAAATCCTTAGTATATATTTGGTTAAACCAAAAAAAGGAACTGCAATGGAGACTATTAGGTAGGGCTCAGGGCACTGCATGGCTGAGAGGCTGAGGCTGCGGCTACAGGTGAGCACGGCCACCCAAAGTGGCTCTGCTTCCGCGAGTTTACGGGATGTCCGATGTCGGCCGCAGTGTCTTCTGCCATATTCTGCTCTCAGAATCAGCGCAAACGAAGCCGGGTGGTGCCCCAAAACTGCGTCTTTGCATCAAAACCTATATGCATGGACAGTTCTCAACATGCCTGTCAGTTTCGCGGCTGATTAAATTAAAGTACTTTGCTTGGTGCAATAGTCTGGCCAGGGAGGTAGTCAAGTTTGAGAACTGCCCACATGCCTTAATGCTCTGGGCGAGCACGAATTTGGATTCGCTGGGCGCGTGTACCTAGTCCTAACCGGAAATGAGGCAGCCTACACCGTCTCTTGTTCGAGCAGCGATGCGGGTTTGTTCTGTTCCGGGTCCCTGGGTTCGGAGGGCAATGCTTGTTTGGATATTATCTTTATAGCTTGATGAAGCTGGCGATTGGCACAATATCTATAGCATCGAAGACGCGTAATTTGGCGTCTCTCTGCGTGACAAAAGGAACCCGCATCTTCAATCACGACTAGGAAGGCTCTCCCAAGCGGAGAGCCCACTGTCCTGCCCTGGAAGCCAGGGCAGGTCAAGGGAGCCGCAGGCTTTCTCAGAATCGCCTGCTTGGGTCTTCAATACTAACGGTTGGGGGTGACACAACATAGAGTTGGTTGGTGATTTCTGGCTATTCCTCAAGGCCCTCATATCGACCGCCAGGCTCCACAAGCATTCTGAGAAGGCCCTCCTCCTGCGGCTGCTCCCCTCCCCTACCGGATCTGTTGGTCCGTCGAAGATTGAACTGCGTTGTGAAGATACATAGTCCGAAATAGCTACTGAAGAACAGAAGGTACAATCATGCTCGTGGCAAACGTTGACTGTATTATACTGTTGATGCTGAACAAGGATACAATACAAGTGACAACCAACAAGCATCCTCTTCTAAGGTTCGGACACCTGATGCCAACAACGCAGCATCAGCGGTTGCAGTTGTGATTGCTGCTGCTGCTGCTGCTG